CCCCAATCCGTGGTAGATGCATCCGTGGAGACAACGAGATGCCTGGTAACTCGCTGAATAGGGACGCCGGTCCGTAAGAAGCTGAGGTTCGACCACGGGAAGAAGGTTCGGCGGCACGCTGGAGTCACTGGAACTCGGAGCGAGCCGCGATGCCATGCCCACCTCGGGACTCGATCGCGAAGCCACAGCTGAAGCGGTCTCATATGAAGCAAACCGAGCGGCGTTGCCGCGGCCGCGGATGCCATATGCCCCAGGAGCCTCTGAAATAGTTTCAGTGGAACCGCACTCTTGCCCTCGAACTGTCGAAGACAAGTCAGCAGTGAGTGCGCGCGCTCGTTCGTGAGCTGCGCGGACATGGCGACCGAGTCTATCTCCATGCCGAGAAAAGAGATCCTCTGCACGGGGCAAAGTTTGCTCTTCTCCCGGTTGACCCGAAGGCCCAAACGGGCTAGGTGCCGGAGCACCAAGTCTCTGTGTTCGCAAAGCTGAGCTCGAGAGTGTGCTAGTATTAGCCAGTCGTCGAGATAATTCAGGATGCGAACCCCGTGTTCGCGAAGGGGAACAAGGGCTGCCTCGACGATCTTCGTGAAGACGCGAGGGGACAGAGCTAACCCGAATGGGAGAACGGCGTACTGATATGCCTGGCCCTCGAAGGCAAACCGAAGAAACGGTCTGTGTCGAGGTAAGATGGACACATGGAAGTACGCGTCCTTCAGGTCGATCGCTGCAAACCAATCCTGATACCGAACACATTCGAAAATGCGTTTGGCCGTGAGCATCTTGAACGGTAGTCGATGGAGAGAACGGTTCAAAATGCGCAGGTCCAGGATCGGTCGTAACCCACCGGTCTTCTTGGGGACAATGAAGTAGGGGCTGTAAAACCCGGACTTCACCTCGGCTGGAGGGACCGTCTCGATTGCACCCTTCGCCAGCAGGGTCGCAATCTCCGCTCTCAGGACTGGGGCATTGCCACCAACTATCGTGGAGCGAACTCCCCTGAAGCGGGGAGGAGACCGTGCGAACTGAATCGCGTAGCCGAATCTGATCGTTCTGATGACCCAGCGGGATATCCCGGGAAGCGCTAGCCAGGCTTCCAGGAAATGAGCCAACGGGGTCATGCGAACCACAGACGTCCCCCCGGAGGGGCAGCGGTGCGGGTCGACTGGCACGCGTGCAGGAGTTACCCCGCTCGGATGCGTCGAAGCCCGCTCCCCGACAGAAGGGACCAGGGAAAGCGGAGCGTTCCACGGGGGTCTGTTCTAACGGGGGTCTGGCGACAGAGGGGGAAGGGATTGGTGTAGCCCTGGGACGACACACGCACCCTTCCGCGCCCTCAGTGACAGAGAGGAGTGTGTGGGCTGACGCACGGGGGCATCGAGCGCACCCACTCCAGTCTGTGAGCTCAGTGAGGATGTCAAGTCTTTCTTTAACCAGTTCAGGGTGCTGCCCACCCGTGGGTGAGCAGCGGGGAGCTGAGAACAAAAGATTCTCCCCCGGCCCTCCACCGGGGGAAGGAGGGGGCCTGCTACCGCCTCCTGGGAAAGACTCGAGATCGTCACTGAGCGGCCCGTGTCAGGATCTTCGCTTAGCCTGGCGTTTAGCGGGGCGAGCGGCCTGAGGGGGCTGTGACGCCGGCCTGCGGCCTCCTCGACGCCGGGGCCCGGGTGAAGGCTGCTGCTGGGGCCGGGCGGGAGGGAGGGGAGCCGCAGGGGGCGTCCTCGGCGGCGAGCAGAGGGAGGCACCTGCGCCGATGACTGGGTGGAGGCAGCAGCTGGTCGCCGGGGCAGGATGTGTTTGATGGCCTCCGTCTGCTTCTGGGCGGTGGAGAACTGCTGGGCGAAGTCCTCGACCGCACCGCCGAAAAGGCCAACCTGGGAGAGCGGAGCGTCGAGCAGACGAGTCCGCTCAGCGCTCCGCGTGTCTGCCAGGTTGAGCCAGAGATGTCGCTCCTGAACCACCGAAGTGGCCATCACCTGACCGACGGCGCGAGCGGCCACTTTCGTTGCCCGGAGAGCAAGGTCAGTGGCGGACCGCAAATCTTTAAATGCCGTCGAGTCAGTCCCGCCCTCGTGCATGTCTCTGAGCATCTTCGCTTGGAAGACCTGCAAAGTGCTCATGGCATGCAAAGCGGAAGCCGCCTGTCCCGCCGCTCTATAGGCTCGCGCCGCCATAGCAGACGAGAACCCACAGGCTTTGGATGGGTGCTTAGGAGGACCACGGGTGGAGGCGCTCTGTGGACACAGCTGCATCGCAACAGAGCGCTCCACCGGGGGCATCCCAGTGTACCCACGGGCGGCCCCACCGTCGAGGGGGGGAAAGGCGGGGGAGAGATCGCGCTCTCGAGTGGACAAAGGAGCCCCCCAAGAGCGCGATAACTCCGCATGCAGCTCGGGGAAAAAAGGTATTGGAGTTGGCCGTGGCCTTGCGGCGGCAGCTTTGTCCAGATACCAATTATCCATCCGCGAGAGATCGGGGCAGGATGGAGGTTTCCATTCTAGCCCGATACTCCCAGCGGCTCGAGACAGCATGGCCGTCAGCTCGGGATCTGACACGGGCAACGCTGGCACTCCCGAAGGGGGCAACGCAGCCGCATCTTCCTCTCCCGAGGACTCAAGCCCGCCTAGTGATGCTGTGATAGACATCACATCATCATCTGGAGCGCTGCTCGAAGCAGCCGGTGCCGCCGAAGAGACAACCGACCGAGTCGCGCTAGCGCTCGCTGGCTCACGCACTGAGGCGGGAGGTGTGGCCCGAGGAACCGTCGGGGCTTTATCCCACACCGTCACCGTTAGATCGCCGGGTCCCCGGGTCGACGGGCCCCCTTCCGTGAAGGAAGCCGATCGAGTAGGGGGGACCGGGGCTCTCACTCTAGTGAGATCATTGAGCCTCGACCTCAGTGTGGAGATGGTCATGCTCCCACAGAAGGAACATGAGTCATCCACGAACGCTGCTGCTGCATGCTGAATGCCCAGGCATACAAAGCAGCGTTCGTGACCATCAGATGATGACAGAAATCTACCACATCCAGAAGGGCACGGGCGAACCATCTTTAAAAAGACGTGCCGCGTGCAGCTCTTTCACTTTCACTTTTATGAGAAAGGAGAAATTCACTCTTTCAGCGCTGAAGCTACCAGGGAGAAGTGCAAAGTCTGGCAGACCACTGCTCAGATCGCAGGCAATGCAAAATCTCGCTGGGTACCGCCGTCACACCAACACTGAAGAGGACGCTCGTTCTCGAAGAGTCTTGAATCAGCTTTTAGGAGTGAAGAGGTTCTCTTGGCTCCGAAGCGAAAACATACTGCGGTTGCGTTCACTTCCTCCTTTTATACTCACGGAGTAGGGCGGAGTACGCTATGCAAATTTCCGCAGCCCCAAGGCATTGCATGCCATTGGCTCGTGTTTAAATACTCGAAGAGGATTGGCTTTCTATGCGAAATCCCCCAATCTCCGTCACTTCTGACGTAACTCGAAGTGACTACGAAAGGGAACTTGAGGTAAAATATTGTTTTCTTATATATTTTTACTTCTAGTTTTAACGTTAGCACCATCGTCTCTCTTTCGTTTTGTCTTTTTTGAAAGTTGTATATGGAAAAGTTTGTGCTCCTATTGGTCAACGTCGTACATGTGACGGAACCATCATGGACGACCGTTAAAAAAATTAAACATGCTAGTCTTTTTGTCATGAAGCATCGCAGACGCGACGTAGGTTGTCGCCCACTATGACACACTATACGAGATGATACGATCGAATTTTGCGTCCCGACGCCCGTTGTCGTTTACGAATCCCCACGACACCCTACGTCAAACGGATCATGCCAAAATCGGGCTAAAATTGTGTAATCTGAACCAGGCTTTGGGGTCCTACTTAGGGCCTTCAATAGAGAGAATAAACTGACACTTTGCAAAGTCTGTTATTGTAGCTCCTCTGTAAAAGGCAGCAAATACACATCCCTAAAAGTATTATTCTGTAAGTAACTTTGCAACTACATGTCAACTAACTCGTATTAGGCTATAGTAGACTGCTAGGTTAGGTTTTGGGTTAGTAGAAAGACTTGACATGCATATGCAAAGTTTCTTATAGTCAGTAGAATGTGTGTTGAGGAGCATCACAATAAAGATATTAAAGGGTTAGTTCACCCAAAAATGAAAATTCTGTCAGTATTTACTCACCCTCATGTTGTTCCAACCCCGTAAGACCTTCGTTCATCTTCGGAACACAAATTAAGATATTTAAGATATTAAGATCGCTCCTGCATACAGTCCGTAGGCTTCTTGAGGGACTGGCTCTTGCTGTCCTCGAAAAGTCATTAAAGACATCGTTAAAATAGTCCAAGTGACTACAGGGGCTCAATCTTAAGTTTATTAAACGACGAGAACACTTTTGTGCGCAAAAAAACAACAAAAATAACGACTTTATTTCAACTATTCGTTTATTTCTCCCTCTGCGCGAGTCAGGTTACTAGTTTAATAGCGTAAGCTTCTGTTATTGTACGTCACACGCATCACACACACATGACCAGCGTCGGCCAATAGTGAGCCTACGTGTGACGTAGCTTTACGCAATCACACTACGTTAACTGACTACAGGCCCATGGAGAAGGAAGTGAATAGTTGAAATAAAGTCGTTATTTTTGTTGTTTTTTTGCGCACAAAAGTGTTCTCGTCGTTTGATAAACTTAAGATTGAGCCCCTGTAGTCACTTGGACTATTTTAACGATGTCTTTAATGACTTTTCGGGGACAGCAAGAGCCAGTCCCTCAAGAAGCCTACGGACTGTATGCAGGAGCGATCTTAATATCTTAAATATCTTAATTTGTGTTCCGAAGATGAACGAAGGTCTTACGGGGTTGGAACAACATGAGGGTGAGTAAATACTGACAGAATTTTCCTTTTTGGGTGAACTAACCCTTTAAGCAGACAGTCTACTAATACTCTAATGAGAGTTAGTTGGCAATGTATAAAGTGTTATACCAAATGTGATTTTGTGATCATTTCTACAGGTCAAGTTCTGGGTGTGTGGATCTTCCAATGGAGTGCTATCTCTCTGGATTATAGAGAACAGCACCGGACCCGAGGGTCAACGGAGTCTCTGGAACTCAACAAGCGAAGCTAATATGGGGAAAGGGTGGAAACTCATTACCCTACCACTCTTCGGTTTGGTGGATCTGTAAGTCTATAGTTACAACCATCAAATGTATGCTGACTATCCTCCACGGTCATGAATTGTAACTTAACAATGGCATAATCAGGTAAACAATGACTGAAATGCTTCTGCTTAAGGAGAACTAATGCAAAATGAAGTTTCGGATACATATGCAAAAGTTTTCACTGACCTTAGAGCAAGCTGTAGACAATTACCTTTGGTTTCTCAAAAAACCCCACACATTTACTCGGATATCTTAATGAATCCCACTGGTGCCGCGTCCCTGCCTATGGGCCGGGCACAGCACCGCACATCCCGTGCTCACCTTCTCACTCTCTCCGGAAGAAAAAAACTGACAGAGGGGAAAAAAAAATCAATGAAGAGGTTCACCATTCATCCACACTTTCACTCCAATTAGCAACTGCTCTTGACTTGTGAGAGTAAGGAGGGCCGAGGAAACATCTCTACATGTTTGATTGGAATCTCATCTAACACTCACAAAACCCCCACAATTCCCCACGCCCCAACCTCCACTCTTGTTATCCAGGGTCTCGCTAATTCCAGTCCACAGAGGGCGATTAAAATTTCATTCCTGGCCTCCTTCCCCTTTTCTTGTTGTAGTCCCATTTTTTTTTTTAGATTGATCTAACACTTCAGAGCGTAGCTGCAAAAGCTGCATGCCCTATGACCCAAAGAGCCAATTCTCACACATTTATTATCATGGGAGACATTAGGGCAGGGGATAACACTCCTCTCAGGGATTTATTCAGAATCTGATGGCTTACTGTAGCCATAAATATACATTAGTGGTGGTTTGGAGATACACCTCAGCTAAAGAATGACACCTACATTTTTCTTCTTTGGAACACAAAAGTAGAGGTTTAACAGAATTGCGCTGTTTTCCAACAAATGAGAACGTTAAACCTGCAGTGTGGTAAACCAGCATAAATAAAATTGTCAGTGCATTTTCCAGTCTCCACATAAGTATGGCTTCAGAAGACTAGAGATATAGCGCACAAGTCATAGGGCCAGATTTACTAAACAGGGTAAATAAGCGAGCAAAATCCCAAAAAGGCGCAGATGGGAGTGGAAACTTTGCGTGATCTACTGATGACGCACACATTAAAGAACAATGCAGCCGAATCATTACCAGAATGAACAACGCAAATTAGCGTCTGGTTTAAGGACATGCTTTCGGGGCATTAAATAATGACACAGTACCAGTAAATTGACTAGCGCTAACCCTTATAGTTAATCACCTTGCATGATTCATTTAAATACTCTGCTCCCATAAATCTGAAAGGGAAACTTTTACAAATGCAATAAGCTCAGCCTCAAAAATAACCCTATCTACGCCTTTTCAGTGTTCAATTTTCATTGCATATCTTTAGAAAATCCTTACTGTAGTTCTTTTTTTTTATTATTTGTGCTCTTTTTTGAGCTTGAAAGCCTCAGCACCCATTAGTAAATTATTAGTAGTATGGAAAAGAGCAGCCTGGGCATTCTGCTAAACATCTTATTTTTGGTTGGACTGACCAAATAATCTGGTTTGGAATGACATTATGACCATGTTTACAGACATATAATTAATAGCTATCCACTTTCTACTGTGTCTCGGCTTAAAATCTGTTTTCACTCTGTTTAATTGATCTCCCCTTTTCTCTGTCACACTTTAGGTTTTACCTGCAGTTCAGTGCTGATATTTCCTCTAGTGCTGGAATTGCATTTGCTGTGGACAACTTCACTCTGAGCATGGAGTGCTTCCTTGAAAGTGAGTGTTGCATCTTCACTATTTTCATTATCAGCCATTTTCCATCCTGAGATGAGAGAAGTAGCCATTTTAAAAATAAATACATAAAATAACCATTAACCATCCACGTGGACGGATCCACCCCCTCCATTCAAGCTCAAATGCAGTTTTCAGGGAGCTGGCTTCACCTAAAAAGAATGCTAAGAAACTGCTCTTGATTGTAGCATTAGTTATTTTTATTTTATTAGTGCTATAAGGTGCCTGAAATTGATCCGGTGTGGGTGTATCGTGAGTATATGAAGAGTTCAGATGCAAAAGCCTCTAAAAGCCATTTGAAATTTTCTTCTTTAATGATGATTTTTATCAAACTTGTATATTTAAGTTCAGTAATTTCACTTAAATGGCAATGATAATTACCTATTAATTGTTATTTAAGTGAAATTACTGAACTGAACTTAACAAGTTTGATAAAAATCATAATTAAAGAAGAAAATTTCAAATGGCATTTAGAGGCTTTTGCATCTGAACTCTTCATATATTGACTGGTTGACTTTTTATCTGGTTGACATCAACTTTGTGTTCAGATTCAGGGTAGCTGGTGAATTAACAGAATTGATTCGGTGTGTGCTAGCTTTTATAAATTGAAATCTAAAATGATGCTTTCATGCTTGCCATTACAACCTAAAAATATATGCAGATGATTGTACAGCGACCTGGAGATTATGTGTCATGTCCAAAAAACATGGTGCTCCTTTGTAAAAAAATAAATAACCGTCATGACTAAAATGGCCTCTTGAATTTAAAATCATCACACTCACTGTGAGGACCAAAGTGCCATCCAGAGAGAATTGTACCTGCACATATTATTTATATATGTTCAGTTTAATCCGCTTTGCTGTTTATTACTGATTCGTAATGCAAGTAAACATTGCTGAAATCTAAAACAAACTGTAATTATAGATGTAAATGTTTTAAAATAGCAAAACAAACAACTGTAAAGCCCTTTCCACTGGTATTGTCATGATACTGGAATTTCTCATTTCAATATTCAATACCACAGGGACGGCTGCCATTCATTTCATAATGTTTTGATCATTTCTTTGATAATGCAATTGCTTACACACGGCACAAGGAGGCTGTATCTGAAAGTTTGAACTACATTCAATCGCCAGTAATAAAATAAGAACAAATTGCAAATGGTAGCACACATAAATTCAATAAAATACAGAGACTGATGAAATAAACAGGGCTTTAAGTTGTTCAGGTCGGTCTAATATTTAATAACATGGAGCCATCAGACTGAGAACATAAATCCATCATGCCTTGTTACCACTGTGCAGGCTGGTGGTGGTGGTGTAGTGGTGTTGGGGATGTTTTCTTGGCACACTTTAGGCCCCTTAGTGCCAATTAGGCATCGTTTAAATGCCACAGCCTACCTGAGCATTGTTTCTGACCTTGTCCATCCCTTTATGGCCACCATGTACCCATCGTCTGATGGCTACTTCCAGCAGGATAATGCACCATGTCACAAAGCTCGAATCATTTCAAATTGGTTTCTTGAACATGACAATGAGTTGACTGTAGTAAAATGGCCCCCACAGTCACCAGATCTCAACCCAATAGAGCATCTTTGGGATGTGGTGGAACGGGAGCTTCATGCCCTGGATGTGCATCCCACAAATCTCCATCAACTGCAAGATACTTTCCTATCAATATGAGCCAACATTTCTAAATAATGCTTTCAGCACCTTGTTGAATCAATGCCACGTATAAATAAGGCAGTTCTGAAGGCGAAAGGGGGTCAAACACAGTATTAGTATGGTGTTCCTAATAATCCTTTAGGTGAGAGTATATCTATATTTTTGACAAATCTTCTTCTTTGACAACTGCTTCTCGCACTGTTGCCAGGGTCTAAACAATTTGGATCTTCAAATGAAGATGAATTCATTGTGTGATGTAACAAAGATTGACAACTCAAAGCCATGGATGTAGTTCAAGCCTGATTTTTTCATACAAATCACTGACTGTTGAAGCTGGAACCAGCTCTTCACACAGCGACTCAGACGCACGTTAACTGAGATGCCGGTCACTGATGAGACAAGAATGACAAGACCTTTTAGCCAGTACTAAGACGACAAGAAAAGCATCCACTCGAGGTCCACATTTTGATTGTGCTGGAAATTGTGAGCCGTCTGAAAGGGCTCTTAAGACGGATTTGAAGGAGATCAGCACAGGATATTGCACAGCTGGGAAAAGAACAGGAATGGGAATCATTAATGCAAACCTCTTGGATTAAACAGGATAAGATCTTTTATTTGTTGGCCTTATGGCGTCTCGCTTTTTCTCCGCGCGAGCCAATGTATTTATTTACTTCAGCTTTTGGCATTTGGAATCTACTTGGCGCTGACTTTATCATACATTTGGCCTTCTAGACCCTGGCAACAGTGCGAGAAGAAGTCTGTTACTTCCCAGAAGGAGTGGATAGGGCTTTACAGTTGTTTGTTGTGCTGTTTAAAACATATTCATTTATAATTCCAGTTTGTTGTAGCTTTCAGCAATGTTTCCTTGCATTAAGGACCAGTAATACACAGCAAAGCAGACAGCTTAACCTGAACATACATAAATAATATGTGCAAGACTAATTCTCTCTTGACGCCTGGCACTTTGATCCTCACTGTGTGATGATTTGAAAGCATCATTAGACATGATGAGATGGATATCTTTGTAAGATCTGAGTCTTAATCCCTCTCCGTTGGCGTGAGAGAGAGGGCCACTGATGTTGAATAGCTCACTTGGTCCATGAAATATTTGCCCAGCAATTTGTATCTGACGCCATTTTCTGCCACACATCGATTCGATGCGGCTGCCATTTGTTCCATCCTTTCTGCCATTTCCCTTTTTGATGACACTTGGGAATGTGTGGGTTATATATTATGCCCTCGTTCCATGACTAAATTAATAATTAATATTATAGCTATACATCATCACACTGGTGTTTGCGGTACCCATCCAGCAGTGTTTCCTAGCGTACGCAGTGTGCATCATTGGCATGACTGATTTGTTTAAAATGTAATTGTTTAATTTTTGTATTATTATTATTATGATCCACATAACATGCTTGTCAGTTCCCATAGGGAAGATAAATCACTTAAGATCAATTGTTTTTTCCTAGACAGCAAGGAGATAAAATGGATGAATTTGAGATTTTTCTTTAGTGAAAAACGCTGTATTAATCTGACGTCGGTCTCCCCCAGAATTTCAGAAAAAAATCTAATCTCAGTGTCATAAATTGTGCTCAGGTTGGCAAAGAGACCAAAAATGTGCAATAGAACAGTAACGTTTTATGTTAACATTAGTTATTGCAGTAGTTAACATCGAAAAACAAATAGACAGTGGCAATGCATTACAAATAACATGATGCTTATTGTAGTTCTAGTCTTAATGTGAGCATTTACTCATCTCACTTGCACAAAAAAGATTCAGAAAACCTCAAAAGAAATAAAGACAGTGTAGTGCAATATACTTTATGTATTAAATCTCACTTTATTTATCAAAACCTTTGCTGCTGTCTTCCAATGATCCAATTCAGCCATATAATAAGCATAATTACTTCAGAAACACATGACATTTGTGTTTCACTTTTCGTTTTTATTGCTAGAGTAATGGTGCGTTCACATACTATGGAAATCCAACACAAGCTATCCGGTCATGACAGAGTTCAGTTAACAGAGTTGAAATGCTAACTTCTTGGTAAATTCGGGAGAAATTTACTGCCGCAAGTAAACTAAATGTAATAAAATAAACACCTCAATCGATATTTTCAACGTTTTCTTTATAGCAGCTTGAAGGACTAAACTAGCCCAAAATCTCAAAACTGATCATTGCATGAAAAATCGATGTTTTTGCCTGCCGTGTCTCGTCTTAAACTAAATATCAAAATATTTTTCTAAGGAGAAACGCATGGTAATGCTTAAATCAAATATATTAACATGTTAATTCATTACAATTCAGTTAAAGCTGGACAAATGCTCAAAGCCTGAGCTTTAAAACTCAAATCTGTAGGACAGTGGCCTGGAAGACTCGAGGACTGCAGCTGAAAAGCCCTGGTTTCGTGTTTAAAGCTCAGAGCTGGTAACCAGAAATCTGCTTTTATCCGCACAAATCACAAGATCTATGATCCTTCACCATTGTTTCATGGTGCAACGCTCTTAGCCCTTGGGTGGTCCAATTGGACTGCCACTAATGAGCTTGTGATGTCATTCTAAAAAGTGCATGAACAAATTTATGCAATGTCATGTGGCGATAAATAAACCATTCTGTTGCTTTGTGTGTTTCCTGTAAGAGCAGTAACTTCGTCTTACTGGTCTCCAGTTGAAACAGATGGCACCGGATTCATATTGGGGGTGTTTACCTCTATTTCCCGGCTTTGGCACGGTGGCAGGCGGGCTTATCCTGTTTTTATTAGTTTTCTCTTCGGAACAGGGAGTCATATCAATACGAGAATTTGCATGCCTACCCACAGTGGCAGTCTGTGATGGAACAGTAAAATAAAAAGTAAAAAAGTCTGTCAGGGAAGTCATATTAGTTTTTTTTTTTTTGGATTCAGTCTACGGCACTACCTGTGGTGCCCAAAACTCGTAAAAATCACCCAGCGCTGCTTTTATGACGGTGCCAGCTGCTCAGCGATGGTTTGGCGTTTCCCCAACGAGCGCTTTTTCGACAACATAAGTGGAGTGCTCCGATGTATTATTGGTGCCAGATATGCTATTTAAATGGGAGATATTGACATTCTGAAATGTAGACAAAGGGAGAGAAAGAATGGTTATGTTGCTATGTTCATCACAGATTTGTCCCAGTCTTAAACATAAGATTGACTTTTTATTTAATGAACCTTACTTGGCTTTAGGGCAACTTACTGTATGTCAAGAGTACAAGCTTATAGTTTGAACTCAATCAACCATTTTCTGAAAAAAAAAAAAAAAAAAAATCAAGCCTCAAGCTGAAATATTATGAATGTATCT